ATCATGTTTAAAGGTATGTATATGAGTTATTCCACTCTGGGTGGAGGCGCAGTAGCCTTAATAGGCCATCCCGAGTTCCGGTGGAGGCGCAGTAGCCTTAATAGGCCATCGGAATGTACACATGGACGGACATAGTGTCCGAGGAGGTTCAGTTCAGTTACAGACCTTCTGTCTGGAGATTACAGTTTACTTATATATACCTGCAGTCATGATATTGATATTATCATTAATGTTTACTTTAGTATGAGTTTCTGCGGAGTACAGTGATTTTAGTACTCACGCTCCCACTATTATGATCTTTTCAGGTGACAGGGTCAGTCGAGAGGAGTGAGTGGAGCTGGTGGTCGCCGGTCCAGTACATGTAATTATGTATATGTTTTTGCAGACTTTTGACATGTATATATTTGCCACGTTTTACTTCCGCTGACGTTTTCAGACTTCCAAACTAGCGTGTAAATTTCAGACGACGATCCGAGCTTTCGGGTCAAGTTTTATACAGTATCACACGCTTGTTTTATAGAAGATAATTCGTTTTTCATAAATGGGTTTAAAATTAATAAAGTTAATGAATTTTTAGAAAAGAAATATTTTGGTGTAGCATCCCGAGATATGTTTCGCAAATGAAAACGTAAACTTTAGAAAAGAATTTGCGAAAATCGCACTCTGATATTAGTAAGCTAGTGGGGTGTTACAGGGTGGGCTCGGCGGCGCCTAGGCGGGCCTAGGCGGCTCTAGGCGGTCTACGCAGCTCGGCGGGTTCGACGGCTTTGGCGGAGTGAGGCGGAGTGAGTCGGGCTAGACGGAAACTGCTGGCTTTGGCGGAGATGTATAAATATTAATTTTTTCTTTCAGTTAAATTCGAAACGACGTCGTTTATGCTTTATGGAAAAACGACGTTGTTTTGTTTAAGATAAAAAAAAATTAATAATACAAATAAAAAAGCAGAAGCAGAACGCATAAGTCGAACATAACGTTTTCAACAGAAGCTTCAAAACGGAGAACACACTCACACAGAAAAAATAACTCTGGATAGCCACCGGAGAACTGACTCGCCGCCGGACATCCATCGACAGGACTCGTGACCCTTCCTCTGGTACTTTTAATTTTCTTTTTATATGGAATTTTTGGACAATGGACATTTGACTTGGTTCACTTAGTTGTAATTAGGTTTTGTTAGTTTTAGGATTTCATGAGATTTAATGAAATCTTCTTATGTGAAGTTGATAAAATTTGGTGTTGGTTGGTTAGCTATAATGCTATTGTAGTGTGTAATGGTTAAACATACGGATGTAGACAATGTGTTCGATGAAATTCCAAAGAGATAACTTAGTAAAAGTTTAAGTATGTAACATTCAAAAATTGAAAAATAAATAATATACACTCATGTATTGTTTTTTTTGCAACAATGTTGATGTTTTATTCATTATTATTTTTTTTTGTTAGGTTTTATCAATGGCTAGTAGTTCGGCATCAAAAAGTACTCCGTGTGATTCTGGGATATCCACGGAGGCCGAGAATGATTCTCAAGTATTTAAAAGAAAGTCGGATGACATAGGTTGGAACTATGGTGTTCTAGCCGATCCATATAACAAAGATAGGGTGAAATGCTTGTTATGTGTTAAAGTTATGTCGGGTGGTATACGTAGATTGAAAGAGCATATTGCTCAAATTTCCGGGAATGTTGTTTCATGTAGAAAAGCAACACAAGAAGATCAAGCTAAATGTAGAAATGCCATTAATGAGTCCAAAGCCAAGAAGATGAAGACAAAAGAACTTCAAGAAGAGTTGCTATCTTCGGTTAACATTAAAGGGTTGAATATTGAGTCCTCTCAACAATGCAAAAAAGCAAAAGAATCTCACTCTCTTGGCCCAATGGATAGATTTGCTACAACAATCAACCCGGAAGCATCATTGAACGTGGCAAAGATGATGCGAGAACAAAACATTAATGATGCTATTTGGAAAGAACGGTCCAACTTGGTGAAAGATTATTTTGTCGATTGGGCTTATGAAGCGGGCATATCTTTCAATGCACTTGAACTTGATAGCTTTCTGCTCTTTACCAAAGTGCTCGATCAATTTGGGCCGAGGTGGAAGCCTCTTAGTTCATATGAGATGAGAGAGCCATTGTTGAAGAAAGCAGTTGAGAGAACAAAACTCAAGGTGAAGCCCCATGAAGATGAATGGAAGAAGAGTGGTTGCTCGATTATGACGGATGCTTAGAGTGATAGAAAGAGAAGAAGCATCATGAATTTGTGTGTGAATTCGAAAGTTGGAATAATATTTCTATCTTCCAAGGAATCTTCCGACATATCTCACACAAGTGAAATGATTTTTGAGAATGTGGATCAATGCATTGAGCAAGTTGGGCCCGAGAATGTTGTTCAAGTTGTGACGGATAATGCTTCAAATAATATGGGAGCGGCGAAGTTATTGCGCACAAAGAGGCCAACTATCTTTTAGACTTCATGTGCCGCACACATCATCAATCTTATCTTGGAGGGCATTGCAAAATAACCCCGGTTCACCAAAACCATTGAACAAGCAAAGGCATTGACTATATTCATTTATGCACATCATAAGACCTTATCCATGATGAGGTCTTACACTAAAAGGAGGGACATCGTAGGACCCGGAGTCACACGATTCGCCTCTTCATTTCTTAGCTTGCAAAGCTTAATGGAAAAAAGGCACAATTAAGGGCAATGTTTACTAGCTCCGAGTGGGATGAGTGCAAATGGTCCAAGACGGTCAAGGGGAAAGCAAGTTACAACACCATGATTTCCATTAGTTTTTGGAATGGTGTGACTTCTTTCTTGACTATTTTTGCTCCTTTAGTGAAGGTGCTTCGCATAGCGGATGCCGATAAGAAGCCATTGATGGGATTTTTGTATGGGGAGCTTATGCATGCCAAAGAGGATATATAAAGTGTCTTGAAAAATCTTGCGAAGAACTATGATCTCATCTTAGAAATCATTAACACAAAGATGATGGGTAGATTGGACACCCCGTTGCACTTGATGGTATATCTACTAAATCCTTATTATCATTATAAGGATCCGAATCTCATACTAGATCAAGTTGTTTCGGATGGAGTTCTTGATTGTCTTGATGTCATTTGTCATGGTAACTTTGATTTGATGGATAAAATCATGAACGTTGAGTTGCCCATTATAAGACAAAGGGATGAGTCTTTGGGAAGCCAATTGCCGCAAAAGGTTGTGAAGTAAACGACGAGAAGTTTGATCCGGGTAAATATATATATATATATATATATATATATGTATATATATATATATATATATTTTTTATATCTTGCCTTGCCTCATATGTGATATGTCTTGAAAAAATATATTTGTTTTTTAATTTTTATTAGTCTTATGCTTGTTTTTTAAGTTTAAATGGCACAATGATTATGCTTTCATGTTAATTTCTCTTTTTTTTTGTTTTCTTTTTCATGCATAGCTACTTGGTGGTTAAATTATGAATGTGGAACGCCTAATTTGTAAAAATTTGCCATAAGAATCTTGTCATTAACCACAAGCTCGTCCGGATGTGAAAAAAATTGGAGTACATTCGAAGGGGTTAGTTGGATATACTATGTTTTAATTGTTTTGTTAATTTTTTTCATTGTTATTATTTTTATTGTCATACTTATATCATAAAATGTAGTTTTATTTATTTCTTAGATACATACAAAAAAAAAAAAGAAATCGGCTTGATGTTTCCCGCTTGAGCAATCTAGTCTATGTCCAATTCAATTCTCGTTTATTGAACAAGAGAAAATGGAGGAAAGAAAAGGATGTGTTACTTGCTAGTGAGGCAAGTAAAGCTCAAGAGTGGATTGTTCCGGGATTAGTAGACGAGGAAGATGAGGACATTAATCGACTTGAAGTTGAGGATGACACATCAAGAGTGAGAGAGCTTGAGGAAGAAGATTTCGAATCCGAGGAGGAGGAACAAGTTAATGAGAATGACATTGACTTTGAGTCGGATGAAGAGCGTGTATTGGAGAATTATGGAGAAGAAGAAGAAGATCCTCTTGTGCTTGGCTATATTTCTTAGATATTGGCTATTGCTTCTTGTTTCTTAATAGTGTTTTGGATATTTGGTCGTGTGGGTTGTTTTGACTCTTGATACTTGGAGTATGTTTTGAACTTGGAGTTTCTTTTGAGATTGTGGTTATGTACTTACTACTTAGTAGTGTTTATGTGTTTATTTAGACTTGGAGTTTGTTTTGAGTTTGTTTTAGACTTGGAGTTTGTTTTTAGATTATGGTTAGTACAATATTACTAACTTGTTGCCATGTGGGTTGCTACATGCTAACGTGGATTGCTAATTGCTATCATGTTTTCAGTTTTCATTATAATATATTAATATTATTGTTTGTAATTAAGTGTGTGGACATCTGTTATAAATTAAAGTAGTTTCATTTTTCAGGAAGTGAAAAATAAACAAAAAATAATATATTTAATATTAATTTCTAGGCCCCGCCTAGGCGCTCTAGGCGCTAGGCGCTGTCCGGCGCCTAGCGGGCGCCTAACGACTTCTAGAACACTGGTCTCAATAGAAGACATTGAATGGGTGGTAGATACTACAACATCCTATCACGTTACTCCCAACAGGAAATATTTCACAACATACCAAGCTGGAAACTTTGGATCGGTGAAGATGGGAAATCCCAGTTCCTAGAAAATTGCCAGAATTGGTGATATCCAAGAAACGACAGGAACCGGGAGTATAATCATGTTGAAGGATGTCAGACATGTGCCGGATCTTAGGTTGAATCTTTTGTCAGTGATGGCTTTTGACAAAAAAAGATATAAAAATCACTTTGGTGCAGGCACATGGAAGTTGTCAAAGGGTGTTTTGAAAATTACCCGAGGACATGTTTGTGGGACTCTGTACAAAACACATATGAAGATTAATACAGAAAATCTGAATGTTGCAGATGAGGTTTCCCAGGATCTTTGGCACCAGAGACTTGGCCATATGAGTGAGAAAGGGTTGACTACCCTAATGAAGAAGGATCTTATCAAGGTTGATAAGAGTGCTGCGCTGGGTTCTTGCAGTCATTTCCTGTTCAGTGAGCAGTATAGAGTCTCATTCAATGCCTATTCAACAAAAGGGTCAAAGCTGTTAAGCTTGGTACACTCTGATGTTTGCGACCCCTTGGAGGTTGAATCACTGGGTGGAACGTGAAACAAGAAAGAAGCTGAAATGTCTCCTATCTGATAATGAAGGTGAGTATACTTCCAAGGAGTTCAATGCATATTGCAGGACATATGGCATTCGACATGAAAAATCAGTACCACGTAATGGCGTTCTGAAGGAATGAATCAGACTATCATGGAGTGTGTCCGAAGCATGATGAATATGGCTAAATTATCAAAGCCATTTTGGGGAGAAGCTGTCAAGACCGCATGTTATCTAATCAACGGATCTCCTTCAGTCCCATTAAATTTAAAGTTCCAGAGAGAATATGGACTGGTAAGGATCCAACATACTCACATCTCAGAGTATTTGGTTGTGTAGCATAGGCACATGTATCCAAAGAGCTCAGAAAGAAGCTCGATGCGAGGTTAATCCCATGCATTTTCATTGGTTATGGAGATGAAGAGTGTGGATGTAGATTTTGGGATCCAAAGGAGAAAAAGGTGATAAGAACTGGGGACATTGTGTTCTAAGAAAATTTGACAATAGAAGACATCGAAAAGCCCAAGATGTTTTAAAAGTCAAATATGGGTGCTCAAGTTTCAGATGAAGCACCAGAACTGTTCCGAAGAAACAATAAAGATGATATACCAGAAGAAGAGGAGGAGTCAGAAAAGAATGCAGAGCAAGGAGAGCAACAACTCATCTTGCCAGAGAAAGGGGAGAAACAACCCACCTTGCCAGAGCAAGGGTAGCCACAACCCATTTTTCCAGACACCAATGTTGGAAGTTCTTCTCAGATGGTTCTACCCACTGGTAGATCTGAACAAGGTCATATACCATAAAAAAGATACTCATAATTCGAGTACCTTCTATTGACAGAAGATAGAGAACCAGAGAGTTTTCAAGAAACCATATTTTATAAGGATAAAAAAAAAATGAATGATTGTGATCCAGGAAGACTTAAATTCTCTTCAGAAAAATCAAACTTATGAGATTGTTAAACTTCTAGAAATGAAAAAAGCTTTGAAAAACAAATGGGTGTTCAAGCTGAAGAAAGATGCAAATGGACAAGTGGTGAAACACAAAGCTCGATTGGTTGTCAAATGCTTTCAACAGAAGAAATGGATTGATTTTGACGAGATCTTTGCACCAGATGTCAAGATGACCTCAATTTGAGTCATACTTGGCTTGACAACAAGTATGAATTTGGAGCTTGAAAAGATGGATGTGAAGACAACTTTTCTTCATGTAGATTTGAAAAAAGAAATCTATATGCAACAGCCAGAAGGTTTTGAGGTTTCAAGTGAGAACCTCGTGTGCAAGCTATCTAAAAGATTGTATGGTCTGAAACAAGCACCAAGGCAGTGGAATAAGAAGTTTGACTCGTGCATGCAGAGTCAAGGTTACAAGAAGACTACTGCAGATGAGTGTGTTTACATCAAGAAATACTCAAACGGGGCTTTCATAATTCTTCTATTGTACGTCGACGACATGTTGATCGTTGGGAATGATGCAGAGAAGATAAGTCAGCTGAAGAAAGAACATTCCAAGTCTTTTGATATGAAATATTTCGGAAAGGCTCAACAGATTCTTGGGATGCAGATTACTCGAGACCGAGAGAACGACAAGTTATGGCTATCTCAAGAGAAGTACGTTGAACGAGGATTTGAAAGATTCAATATGAGTGATGCCAAACCAATGAGTATTTCCACTTGTGAATCATTTCAAGTTGAGCAAAAGATTATGTCCCACATCCAAGGAAGAGATGGGGAAGATGTCTGCAATGCCATACTCTTCAACAGTTGGAAGTCTGATGTATGCAATGGTATGTACAAGGGCAGATATTGCTCATGCAGTGGGTGTAGTGAGTCTTTTTTTTATAACCCCGAGAAGGAGCATTGAGAGGCAGTCATATGAATTCTCAGATACTTGAAGGGTACTTCTAAGTTATGTCTTTGTTGCAGGAGAGCTGATCCAATCATGGAAGTATATACTTATGCTGATATGACCGGAGATATTGATTGTAGAAAGTTTACTTTGGGTTATGTCTACACTTTTGCAGGGGG